AGCAGAATCAAGCTGTTTCAGCAACTTTCAGGCCATTTCAAATGTTTGGACTCGGTTGAAACTGGTTGAAACAACCTTCTTGCTGACCCATGCCAGACTGTCAGACATCTCGATTTCAATGACCATCAACTGTCATAATATGACATTTTTCCACACCCTTTTACATAAAAATGTGCAAAAAATTGTCTTACCTGAGCTTCGAACTCAATACTATCATGATTGGTATCTATACACAATAACATCGGGTTTCATTGTGACTCGATGATCATTGCTACTCACCTTATGTATTGAAGTGGGTAGCCTGGTGGCCCTGAGAACCCTCTTTCCTACCTAATGTGTAAGAAACCTAATTTTTTTTTCCACACTTTTTGACATATTCCTACATACAAAATAAGGCTCCTGTGTGACTTTTTTTTTCAAATTTTTAGAATTCCTACACAGAACATAAGGACCATTTTTACCCAAAAAGGCCAATTCCTACATACCCAATTAGGCGGGTATATAGGGGCTTTCCAGGGTCCTATCCCAACACATGCCAAATGAGAGACTCTAGAACTTGTTAATCTTGAGGCATTCTTAAATCGAAGTGACTTTGACGCATAAGTACCGGAAGTCCTTGACGCTTTGATTAGACTAGAAGATGTGTGATCTAACACACAAATAGAAAAAGAAACATAACCAAAAAGAAAACACACTACACACGCACACACATCATCAAACTACAAGCAGGGATGATGAATACCACGACAATTACATTTCACCTGTAGTGACTAGGGCTGTGGCCCAGACCCGGTCCTGACCGGCCAACTTGGCCCGAGGGGTATTCAGGAGGCTTCGGTACGTGCCCTGGGACCATCAAACCTAACTTGATGATAGATACAAATGCCCTGCGGGCACCTCGGCCACCCGGTCCGGCCGCGTGGCCGACACCTTTCCAGCCAAACCATCTCACAAAGATCGACATTGCAGGTTTCCCCTTGCATGCGATTGTATAGTACAGTACTACAGCCTCTACATTATACCCGCCCCCGGTCCCCTTTTTAAGCTTTATCCCTTTGGAGAAACTCTGTTTGAGTTACGTTCTCTTGTCATGCCCGCTATTCAAACAACTTCCGTGAACACCAGATCAGCAACCTCTCTACTACGTTCAATGCAGTCCTCAAATTCTTCCATCACTCCCTTGGATTCGATTTCCAAAGTCGCATCCAAAGCCACCACCACTACTTGTTCCTGGTGGGTGTGGCAATTCTTTGTCCAGGAAGAACTCAACGGGCAGATGAAGAACATCTGCCGTGCCTCAAGAGGCTTCATTGACTCCAGTGCCGCTCTCAAGGGTGATCCCGACACCGCAGAGGTCTGCAACACCCCTCTGGCCATTGACAAGAATGGTAGTACGAAGTTGATGTCGAGACACCTTTCCCGTGCCAATCATATTGAACCACCTGTCCAGACGAGTAAACCAACTGTCGCCGCTTTTTATATCGATGGACTGCCTGTCAAAGTAAGTTCAAACTCTTTTTCTACTTTTTTGTCATCTTTTATTTATCAAAAAAAAATCACATCTAGGTGAAACCGCTCAACCAAGCCAACCTCAAGGACGTCCTAGTCCGGATGGTTGTCAATCAAGAAGTTCTGGTCTCCTTTGTCAATGCAAAGGAGTTCCGCGAAATGATCAACATGATCAATCCGGCCGCCTACTCCCTTCTATCCAAACAAAGCGCTGTTTCCGAGTCAATCTTGGACACTTATTGTATGACTTGTGCCTCAATCACCAACTTACTCTCGTCAATCACCCACATCAGCATTACTTGTGACGGATGGACTACTCCGACCAATGTATTGATGTTGGGTGTGACTGCCCACTGGATTGACGACTTGTTTACAATCGTGGAATTACTCTTGCTTTGAAGCCTATCGACGGACCACATACTGGTGCTAACCTTGCCACGCTCCTCAAGAACATCCTTGATTATTTCAACATTACCGGACACCTCTTCTGTATCACAGCAGATAATGCATCCAACAATACGACTATGGGTCAGAGTCTTTCCTCATTGATTCCTCATTTCAATGCTTCACAGAACCTACATGAACCTCCCCTCATCAACGCCCTCGACCCCACTATTCCTCAACCATCGTCGTCGATTCCCTTATTTCTTGAGCCAATTTCAAATTCTGAGATAGGCAGCATCCTCACGCGAATTCGGGGATTTCATAAAAAAATTAAACACAGTAGTCAGCTGAAGACTTCGCTTGACAATGCCATTGCCAGCTGTGCCACGTTGGCACGTAAGGTTGGTCTTGTTCACGAAGTTTTGACACGCTGGTCATCCACCCACTCTTCTCTTTCCCGATTTATCGAGCTCAGAGTCGTGCTGAGTATCAATTCAATTGCACCCCTGCCCTTGAGTGCTTCAAGCTTGAGTACGACGAGTGGCTCTTAGTTGAAAATCTTGTCCAGTTCTTAGCTCCTCTCGCTGCTGTAACCAAAACTCTAGAAGGACACACATACCCAACTTTCTCTCTTGTTATGCCTGACTACCCATGGCTAGTCAAACGGCTTGAAAGTGTAAGTTTTTTCCTTTTCTTTTATTTTGTTTCTACCTTTCTATAAGTTACTGATATATGATGTATGACATGCATTTGTTTGTTACAGGCTTGGGCCGATTCTAAATGCAAGGAGTTGAAAGTTGCAATTATGCCCATGATAAAGAAGGTAATTCAATATCAAGAGGCGGCTCAGAAGAAGGCGGTGTATATCTGCAGTGCAATTCTTGACCCTCGACTTAAACTTACCGCCGTTAAAGCTCAAACTGTGGAATCGCTGGGTTGGGGACATGAAGATCTAGTTACTTACTTTACCGAACATGCCTCTGCCTTTAAAGCTGCTCTTGACCCGGAGATTGAAATAGTTGAACCTCAAGAAACGCTCCGCCTTGACCAACAAACACTACATCAAGCGACGCAAGACGGTGCCAATTGAACATGAGGTGCACGAATATCTCACTGCCCCTCAAGAGGACAAGATCTGCAAGCCTCTCAACTACTGGCAAATCAATGCTTGTCTGTGGCCCAACCTGGCACGTATGGCAAAGGCAATGCTTGCTGTGCCTGCCATGAGTGCCCCTAGTGAGAGTTCATTTTCTGATGCCTGGAGAGTGATGAGTGATCACCGATCGTCATTCACTCCCACCAATCTTGAGGCGCAAGTATGTCTTAAGAGCTGGAACCAGATGATATCAACCTGAAACGTTTCAAGTAAGCTCACAAACCTCTATGTAATCTTTAAAAAGCTGACATCTATTTTCTTTCCTTTTGAAGTAGGACCTCTTATGAAAATTCATACACATAAATCCAAAATATACTAACTAAGTAGGATCTTGCAATTCTACATTGTTTTTACTTTCTAAAAACACTCCTAAAGCTCTTGTACAAGGTTCTATACATGTGAACTCTTCGGATCAAAAAATTGTTTTCCATTTCTAAATAGGCTCATAATGTGGTTATCTAAGAGCATCTCCTATCGTCTCGGTAAACGGCTTCGGTACGGTAAATTTTACTGTACCGAAGCCCAAAATCCACAATCGTGTGAAAAACACCATTCGGTATCTATCGAATCGGTCAAAAATCGGTAGAGGTCCAGCAAATTTGCTGGACCTCTACCGAGTCGGTATTTCCACAATCTACCGAAAAGCTACCGAGACTCGAGTCTCGCCAAAGTCTCATCAAGGTTCCCAAATCCCTCTACTATCCCCCTCTACTATCCTTCCTTTCGATTTACTTTCACTATTCCATCTCAATCTTCATCTCATCTTTGTCTGAAATATCAACTCGTTATCAATCAAGATGGATCAAATCAATCAAGACTTCGACCATCAAACCACTCAAAATGATCAACTTAATCAAAATTCATCAAAGAAGAAAAAAAGCAACAACTGGTCCTCTGCCGAGGAAGTATTGCTCGCCGAGGCGTGGGTCCACGTCAGCCAGCTTCCCGAATTCGGCACGAACCAGACTGGCGAGACCTTTTACAAGCGAGTCACTGAACACCTCAATTCCAAATCGTCTTTTGGAACTCGAGATCTCAATTCGGTTCAAATCAAGTCAGTAGACATCATCGTTATCAAGTAGACATCATTGTGATCAAATGAATGAACTGATCATTTTCCTTTTTAGATGGGCCGCTTTGAAAACGGCTACGCTCAAGTTTAGTGGTTACTACGGTCAGATCGAACGCTCTCCTCCAAGTGGCACTGTCGAGTCCGACTGGCCAGAACTTGCGATCCAGCTTTACAACAAGCTCAACCCCAAAAAGCCACCCTTCAAATCCCTCGCAGCTTGGAGGGTGCTTTCAACTGCCCCCAAGTGGATTGTTCCACGACCTCCGCCTGGACCTTTGGCTTTGGCTATTGCTGCCATCCCCTCTAGCGAAGCCCTCTCGGATGGCACCGATACCAGTACTACTACATCTCATCCTCGTCCTTCTACCCCTCCTCGCCCGATTGGAATCAAGCAATCAAAACGCAAGCGTCAAGAAGACTCGATTGCTCAAGAACTCAAAGAAGCTCGTGATGAACAACTTAAAAGAAGTAATGAGTTAGCTGAAAGAAGAGTTCAAGCTCTCGAGGAAGGGAATGAAGTGGTGAAGCAGATGGCTAAAGCAGATGCTGAAGCCAAAGCTAGTGTCGCGACAGCGACTGTTACTTCGAGGATCGTGGCGCACTGTCTCGTCTTCCCCCACCTTTGTCGACCGTTTTTTT